AAGGAAAGTAAGATGTACTTTTTCCCTTGCATGTATTAGGCATTACAATAGATTCTGGGGCATTGTTCTAGGAACAAATGGCCATCAATGTACAAGTTCCAAAAGCTGCTATTTGGTACTATATATGATTTTTTTTATTAAGAAATTTTACAGTCACATATACAAATCATTATTGTCCCTCATAGTTATCAGATTCTTTGTATAAGAAAATTACTTATAGCAATGAATCACTAAATTCTACTCCTAAAACCAATATTACACTATATGTTAACTAACTAGAATTTAATATAAACTTGAAACAAGAAAAACAAAGAAAATTACTTGTTACATAGTGTTACTGCTCACACATCTTTCCTCTATTAAAAAAATTCACTGGGGCACCTGTGTGGCTCAATCAATCAAAGCATCTGCCTTTGGCTTAGGTCAAGATCCCAGAGTCCTGGGATCAAGCCCCACATTGGGCTTCCTGCTCAGCGGGGAGCCTGCTTCTCACTTTGCCTGTCGCTCCCCTGCTCCTGCTTGTGCTCTCTCTCTCTCAATTAAATAAATAAAATCTTTTTAAAAAAATTCACTGATGAGAGTGATAATGGAAATCAAACATGGTTCTGGCAAGTTCCCACAGTCTATAATCCAAAATTTAAAAAGCAAGTGTATATACATATAATATATATATTCAATGTTATTTATTTATTTGACAGAGAGAGAGAGAGAATGAGAGTGAGCACACAAGCAGGGGGAGTGACAGGATGAGGCAGAGGGAGAAGGAGGCTCCCTGCTGAGCAAGGAGCCTGATATGAGACTTGATCCCAGAACCCTGGGATCATGTCCTGAACCGAAGGCAGATGATAAACTGACTGAGCCACCCAGGCACCCACAAGCATGTATTTTTAAAAAGCAAGAATATGTTCACAATTCTCTCTCTTTTGTGCTCTTTTTGCATTTCATTTGTTCTTTGAAATTGACATTTGTTGCACCTGAGTCTATTTACTTGATTCTAGCGTCACTCCCTCATTAGACTGTGAGGGGAAATATTTTGCTTAAAACTAGAATGCATAAAAGAAAAATAATGAATACATTGAGCTTTTTGTGTGTCTTTTCTAATTATACATTAAATGAATTTAAAGAGATATCTCTTACCATGCACATTCCAAAAAAGCACAAAGCTAACCATGCATTCAAAACAAAAGTTTCATTTTTATTCATCCTTTTTGCTGAAAATCTTTAGAAAATGAAAATAGATTTAAGACAAAATGTCCAACCTCTTTTAATAGTTCTGTACATTTAAATCTCATTGAATCTTTTTTGACAATTTCTGAAGCCAGAAGTATTTTAGGTACTGAAATAAAAACCCAGCCCTACTAAGTTTATTCTAAAATTAATTGTTTCTATGAATATACTTACGGATATGCAATAAGTCTTAAATTGTTATGGAAATAATTACTGAACTACGCCAACTACTTTCATAATAATTATTAAAGAGTGTCATAATTAAAAGATAAAGTACAATACTATTTTTTCTTTGCAACAAAGAGGTACATGTTACTACTGGAAATCTTTACTTTCCTCCTTGAAATACCAGAAATTCTTCTGTAAAATAAACACATCTCATCAGGACTCTCTGGAACTAGTATAATTACCAGAGGCAATCCCTGTGTAAGATCAAAGAAGCAAAACAATAATAGGCAACGTGTGACCTCGACCATGTCACTAGAGACCAATTTTTCAACGGGGAGAAGAGTCAATAATCCAGAACAGAAAACATTAAATAACCAGAAATGCTTCCAAAGTGTGGTTTACCGCATCCGTCAAGACTGCCACACTCAGAGTTCAGTTTCTCCAGTTTCAGAGAACAAACTTGTGGGGATTTATCACAGCAATTATTCAAATCTGCATAAAACACCAGAGGCAAAAAACCAATTTTCCAAATGCAGAGTAGAATTTCAAAAGATAACCATAATAATTTTCCAAATTTCACAGGATGCTTTAAAAAGTATAATGGAAAGGACACAGATGATGAAATCTTTTTCATACAACATTCACCTAATTTCTCTTATTTCCAATCCCCACTTAGTTTTCCCAAGAAGTTGACCGGAAAAGTGAGTTATAAACATTAACCAGATAAATATAATTAGTAATCATACATTGAAGGCTTCTGCAGGCTTTTTGTTTTTTTGTTTTGTTCTGGCAATATTGGGTCCCTGGATCCAGAAACTGGGCTTGCTATGGTCTCCTATGTAATGTATTTAGATGACCGATAAGAATTATAAGGGTGCAAAGTGGGGTAAAGAAATTCCCACTCATAATAATTACGGTAAAATAGAAGTACATTTAAATTCGCCTTTTAAAAAGCACCAAAGATAAAATTGTGCCTTAGAATCAGCAAAATCTGACTGTTTCCCTTAGACATGACCACTACCAACCAGCTATGTTCTTTCAAAATTAGAAGAGACTTAGGGGCTGAAAAAATATATCTGAATTTTTTAACTTGCAAAATACATATTCTGCTGGTAATTCAGAAAGAAGTAAAGGGACGTTGCTTAGAGGAAAGAGTGCTGGAAATCCAAAGCAACTGTGAATACCGCGTTCTTACATGGATTTTCTCTTCCTGCTACCTTCATCATCCACTCTCATCTGCCTCTGTCTTTCCATCTTCTTATCTTATTAACATTGCTAATTGTATTTGTCAGTTTTGCCACAGTTTCAATGCTACTTAAACAGCTGTGGGTTTTCTCTAGGCAATTATCAGTCACTACACTTAGGTTTCTAAATTAGTTGTTGAAAGGCACTTTAACCTTGAGAACATGGACACTGAACACACGGCATGCATGCTGAGTCTTACATTTATGTATATGTTGCTTTAAAATGAGTGATTATTAAGAGCTTGAAAAAAATCACACATAAGTGTAATTCACAAATAATATAAATTTACAAATTAGTAAGAAAATGCTTAACAAAGCCTATTATATACTAGTCATCATTTCGTCTTTTCCCCCTACTGTATATATAGTAATATATGTTCTCTATGTATTTATACAGGTATGGAGGGAATAAACTGGAACATCAAAATACTGCCAAATTCCTCTAACAGTCCCCTTTTACTACCTATCTGCCAGGTGGCCAATACTATCCGTAATCATGGAAGTGGTACCTTGAGGTCATGGACTCTGGTAAAGACAGCTCCCACAACAGACAGATCCTGTCCCCCACCCCCTTTTCCATTTCCCTTCAAAGAGAGAAATTCTTTATTATACTTGCTTTTCTTATTCTCTATTCTTGACCCTGGCATTGATTTTCTTCTTCCTACTATAAAATGTACAAGAAACACATTTAGGGAGAATGTGTTTATGGTTATTCATCAACTGATACCCACTTCTGTGAAATACAAATAAATTTTTAAAACTTCTCTGTAATCTAGAAACATTATATTTCATGTGCCATTTATTCCCTTTATACATGAAAATAAATTCTAAGGTAACTTTGCAGAGTTAACAAGCTTTGGTGTTTTTAAAGGTTTGTAATATCCCGTTTGTGGGTCAGTCAAAAGCTTGTTAGAATAATCTTTAAATTAATGCAGGCTCGCTCCTTACCAGTCTTTTCCCCACCCCCCACTTTTGGCTCTGAGGAAAGAAAAGGGTGGTAATTCAACAGTGCAAGATTCTTCACTGAGAGACAAACATTAAAATGATAAACATTTTGGAAAGCAAAGTACACTTCAAACCCTCACTGTTCTTTCAGACCTATATTGACTCTTATAGTCGTTGCCAACATTTGGTAAGGATTATCCTTCCATTAGACAAAAGCAAGCATTCCTTAGATAAATCAGGAGTTTTTGCCATGAGACTCATAAAACCTTTTCACAACACAGATTTTCAAGAGAATCCTTTAAGGTTTTAGGAGGCTGCTCCTTTTACTAAGTAACAAAATACACCCCATGGTGTCTCACTGACCCCACTCAGCTGTCCTTTGACCTCTTCAATTGTTGAAGCCTAACTCCTGGGCCACAGAATTTGCCTCCCATATCAAACAGGGGATGTTGCTAACTCCTAGCACCTGGTGTAACAAAACGCAACCGTTCTCCGCTCTTCTGTCTCCTCAACTCCCTCTCTGATCATTTTCCAGATGTTCCAGGCCCAAATGTTAAGCCAACACTAGGTTCCAGGGTCTGCATGATCACCAAGGCACAAACAGGGACCACGCCGAAGTGGTAATGACCCTCTTGTTCTGTTTGGCCTCAAAAGAATTCAGGGGGAAAAAAGATCTTTGGCTTCTCATGGAAATGCCACACTACTCAAACGAGTTGTAACCTCCAAAAGGAGACATGCAGTCCCGAGCTATGCCAGACAGAACAAGAATTCCTTAAAAGAGCAGTCCCCAATCCTTAATTCTAAGCAAATTTTAAATTTTCTTTGATGTCGGGGGGGGTGGGGGGAAGCAGTATTTTCTAAACTAAAAGCCTCCCAAAAATAGAAAAAAAAAAAAAACTTTCATAAATCTTTTAAAATACACACCTCAAGGTAGTGTTACATGATTAATATTTTTTATTAATATTTTTATACAGATACTAAATATGGTTTGGGTTTTGTGTGTGTGTGTGTTGTTTTTTGCAGAGGCCAATAATCTAGATTTCTCTCTTATTAAACAATTTGAAAGATAAAAACCACAGTCAACAATGGGGAATCAAAACCTAAATTCTTATTGTCTTGACTTAAGTGTACAGGAAATATAATACAAAGGCTGTTGCCCCCCCCCCAAAAAATTATTCAGCAATACTGAATAAGCAAAAACTTAATGCTGAATAAGGTTCCCCCCCCCTTTCTGGTGGAAAGATGGGGGAGGGGAGAGGAAAGCAGAGGGGAGGAAAAGAAGAAGAGCTCATAGAAATATCTGCTTAATCAGTTTAGGAACCAAATATAGTAGCTGTATTTAAATTCTAACTATAACTTCCTAAAACAAATGATCTTGAAAAATTGGGGGTGGGTGGGTATTATAACTGTAAATACCTTGGTTTATTTATTAACATTTTTGAATCACGGTCATGATTAAGTTGGGCTGTCAACACTTCAGGGAGCCTGTTGTCTAGATTTCACTTGTTTAAAGCTTTTGTGCACCTGCAAAAACATAAAAAATAAAATTACATATGTAAACACATGAATTAGTTTCCGAATGCATCATATTCCAGAAAAAAATAATTTAAATATCTATAATTCTATAAAAGTTACAATTAGACATGAATCATCAAAGTCACGTAACTCCATATACATTGTAACTGACAATTACAGGTATTCCTCCTTCTTAAATATTCCCAAAATAATCACTCCTAATTATATATACTCAAAAATAATTTATTTTTCTTAAGATTTTCCCCCTGCTCTTATCCTACTAAATGTAAGTTGAATAAATCTGTCACGTCTATCGTTTAATAAGTGTTATCATATGCTAACAGCCCCGCTGACTATTTTTATATTTAGGAATGAAAATAATGAAAGGTAATTTTCTTATTCTAAGCAGTTTGAATTTATAATCTCTGATGCTTTGGCCAAAATTTATCTCCTCAAAGAACTATCAAAAATGTAAGACATAACTAACATTACTTAAAAGAATTTTTCGACTTTTTGAAACAAATGCTTTAATACTCTCCGAGAAAGAAAGACTGCATGAAGAAAAAAAGAGTTACTGTTTTCTAGCCTTTTGAGTAGTGTAGTTCTAGGAGTAATTAAACTAAATAATTATAATTGCATATAAGTGGTTGAAAATTACAGTGTGCATATTATTCCCTCCTTTAAATAGATTATGGTGAATATAAACTATTGGGTTGAAAAATAGGAAATATAGTCATAAAACATCAAGTGAAGTAAGAACTATTTGTCACTGATTTTTATATGTAACTAAGAAGTGTTTTTATTCCTTTGTTACTGTAACTAAAAGGAAACCAAAAGGGGACTTTCCTAAGAATATACTCATTTCAATATGCATATTTACAGTACTAAAAATATTTAAAGTAACATTAACTTTTGTTTTCTAAAGAAATAGTTTTCACTTTTATTGTCCTTTTATGCCAACTTAGAGAGAGGAAAGACAGGAAAGGACCATTTTTAGATTTTGAAATAAAAATCTTTATCTTACCTCTCTTACTGTCAGAAGAATGTCTTCAGGCAAAAGAACAGTTAAAAAAGCAAGACCCAGATTTTCCAAAATCATGTATTTCCCACCCACACACACACAAACGGACATCGTTTTGTAAGTCAGGAGTCTTGCTGCCAATATCTAAACCCAAGATTACCCCATATGGTCAACAAGGTCAAACTGCATTACTGCCAATGAAACTCTATGGCTCCACGAGGACCTTAATGATTTTTAAAAAAGGTCAGTAATCCAATTCCAATAGCTTCAGAGTCTAAAATTGCTAATTTTTGGCCACGTGCTACACACTTCACCTGCTAGTAATGACATTTTTGTATTTTCTTCTAATTACACTCAAAGCTAAGACCTTTGGCCCTGGGCCACAGACCCCTATTCAGGCTGCACACATTCTCTTAAACGACCTGATCCTTTGTTGTCACTCTTACTCTTTCATCTATTATTTACACCCATAGAGAAGGAAGAGACTCTACCATTTGTATAACTTAAACCTTCTAATCGTCTTAATTTCTTTACCTTTCAACCTATGGTCTTTTTCATAGACGAATGCCAAAAAGTTTGACAAAATCATTTTTTTTTTCAACCACATCCTCCCACCTCCCTTTCCCCTTTCCTACTCTCTGCCCAAGCTCCTTCCTGTTTCTTCTCTTACACGGCCCAGTTCTGCATCAGTCCAAATTTACAAATTTTTACTTTTGCCAACAAAATGAATTTCTAAATAGAATACAAAATTTCCACCTTGTTCTGACAGATCAATAACAATTATATTTCTTTATTTCATCAAAGAGCCCACTAAATTAACTGGAAGTTTACTTAAAATAACTTAAAGGATGCCCCCAGTCTCCCTAAGGCATGAGCACAGATTTTTCAAAATCCCCCTGCAAAAATGTCAAAAAAACTTAAAACAGTAAGGATGTTGGCTCTATGGTTAATACTTTTCCAACATTTGAATGTCTACAGTTGCTCAAATGCTTACAAAAAGAAAAGAAGGAAAGAAAAATGAAAATACAAAGGCAAATTTTAAAGACTAGAAAAATTTTTAAATCGTTACATTTTAAAAGACTACTAATTCTCAAACAGCAAAATTGTCATATAAAACAATGTATATCATTGTAATTTCTCAACACTTTTCCCAGACTTTTTTTTTTTAATGTCCAAATACATTTTGCAAATGCAAAGCACAGAATTATTTACCATGATGCAGATGTCCCCCTCAGATCACGGTAGCCACCAAAAGACTCTCGTTTCCAAGATGTTTATGAAATGACATATGATCCATCTCTGCTCTTTCTCTATTGCTCAGCTTACTCTTAATTTCTAACAGTATTTCCTTGTTGTCTGTCCTCTTTGCAGACCCTGAAACCCCTTGTCTTTTCTTATTTTTACCATTTGCTTCAACCAGCAGTTCACTGGAGACCCATCCATCTTGTAATGCCTAAAGTGACAGATGCTCTCAGGAACCACCACACTGCTGAGTGAACAAAAGATAACATCACCTCTAGGAACTCCAGAGAGAAATACAACTGCAACCTTAAGACAGGGGCTGACTTGACAGACATTGGACCATAAACCTCTTCTAAGCGAAAAAGAAAACAATTGCCACACACACAAAAAAATCTGACACAATCAAAGGCAGAAAAGAGTGATTATTTGTGGATTGCCTTTTCACTAGGCAGCTCACTTTTCCCTCCCAACGCTTTTATATTGGGGCAATTCACTTGCCAAGAGGCAAGAGAAGTTCTTGGGGAAAAAAAAAGCCTTTCTCAAGTATCTTCTTTTATACAGCAATAGTCAAAGTGAAATTTGTTCACGTGTGTGTTTCAGTAAAGCGAAGGCTTATGAGAGAGAGCATTCGTGAATCTGATCTGTCTTGTTTGAATAAAGCAGTATCTGGACTCAAAAATGCTGACTCAGTTCTACTGCTGTGAAAGGCATAGGCGTGCTTTGCAAATTAAAAACACATTAGAAATTAAAAAGCAACGTGTGACACAATGTTAACAATATGTGTAGCTCATAAAAATGGCTCACCATTCATTCATCAGACAACTTCCAACTTGAGTAAAAAAGACAGTTAACAAGAGGATTCTGGGAAGGACTACAGATCTCTTTTCTAACAAAGGAAGGGTCATATTAACATCTCCCAGCAACAAACTAATGACAGGGAGGCTGGTAGATACAGGGACTCTGCCTGATGCCAGCTAGGGTTTGGGTTTTTGTTTTTTTAAGCATCTTATTTAAAATCTTCATGCAGCAATAGGTAAATGCAAATTCTAACATTTAATTTTAACTTAATTCTAAATATAGAAAAATAGAGTGAAGGGAAATTTTTGAAGAATAGAAAAAACAAAAACTGACTTGGAGGTCACTTCCGAACATTGTGGGATCAATGTCAATTACAGAGATTAACAACTGTTTTTTATAATAGGTATCAAGCAACACAGAGGGCTATCTCTGCTGCAGTTAAATACATTACCATTTTGAAACAGGGTAAATGATTCAAATATTTATGTTAAATCTAAAACAAAGAGGGAAATGTTCAAGAAAAGTCCTGTCAACCATATTTCTAAAAAGAATCATAAGCACATACATGGCATTTCTTTAATACAAATATTTGAATTTTCCATTAAAATTTTTGCACAAAAAGACTTTAGTTACAATAATTTTTCTTTGAAATCATTAATGACTCTCCTCTCATTCCCATTTTACTAAAAATACATAAAATTTAAGAGATATTTTATTTCATCTCCTGTGTTTGAATTATTTGTGGGGTTAAAAACATGTTCAACTTGATAAATCAATGTATCTGTTTCTTAAACATTTTTTTAATGTATCCCTTATTTCCCCAAAAGCTTCAGCGTAGTTGTACAAATATTTCAGAATCTCAGAATGTTCTGGGTTTTACTTTAATGCTGACAAAACAGATTGCATATACAATAAATATGTACAACTTCTATAACTCAATGGAAAAAAGATTAATTATAGACTGCTTATCAATATATAAAGGACTTGTTCTGATATGGACTTGATGTTTAACCAGGTAATTCTGGTGTTTTGTTTTTTTTTTAACATACCCTCACCCTAAGTAATCCCCCCAAAACTACTGATCCAAAAGTACCACATCATTAAACACTCTCTAACTTTGGCATTAATACCAAAAAGAGAGACATGACCTTGAAATGACAGTTCCATTGCAGAAGGCTCAAAAAAAAAAAAAAAAAAAGCCCAATTAAATGACCTACTTTCAAACACAATAGGATCGATATGCATGCAGGAAAAGTACACCCCTGTGGAAAGTTCTTATTGCCTGATTGATCAAAAACAAAACAAAACTTTTCTTTTTTTTAAGGGCCCCTTCCAGATCACTGTCAGTGCCAGAAATCCACACAGGAAAAAAATCCATCAAAATGAAACCCTAAAAGGGTTTACCCTTCACCATCTTATTTGCACTTCAAAACCCTGTAAGTCCTTCAGTTAAACCCCAGGGCTGAACCATTTCAATAATAAGAGAGGTGGCCAGAGGTGATTTATCTCCCATTTGGCCCCTGGACAGAGCTGTAACGTCTACTAAGCTTCCCCTCCCTGAGTCAAACCCTCCCCCAAGTCTCAACCTTCATTTGTGCAGCTTTGGATCTGCAACCTTATAAACAACTCCTATGCCCCTTCCAATCAGATGCAAGAATAGTCTGTAACTCAAGATTTGGATACATTTTCTTGGCAATGCTTTCACAAAATGGAATGCTGCTGAGTAATCAGAGCTTTGAAAATACCAGGTTAAATTTCAGGTTCTCTTTATTATAAGTTGGGGAAGAAAAGAAACTTTCTAACTTTATGTTCTCTCTTCTCAGGTATGTTGTTATCAGAAGTTGTTAAACTTTTTCCAAATTATACCTTGATACTCTTAATGTTTTGGGCTATGTCAGCCAACATCCTGCAGTGAAGTTCATCTAAATTTAAATCCTTGCATTGTAAA